ATTTTCAGTTACTTCTATTGTCTGATTTTCTGTAAATTTCTGAGTAATGCTTTACATATCTTTGTTTTCTTAATATTGATAAGGATACCTAGATACCTGAAGGTGCATAGAAAAAGGTGTTTAAGCAGAAAATAATTCTTGGCAAGAGCTTGGTTACCAGATAAACTGATTGAGTCCATAAAAGGCATTGCACATGTACTAGAGCATCTTTTATATATGTTTTAACTATATGTTTTATCTAGGGAGTAGTTACTGATAAAGCTATGTAACACTAGAGTATTTCATTTGGAAGGGACCTACATCAGCTAGATAAGGAATGAAAACTAGGAAATGAAGCTTTTTGGTTGCAAAACGCAGTGAGGTTATAGCACATCTTTTCAGTACCGAAAGAAATAAATATGTTGTTTCAAGAAGATTCTGTTATCTGCAGAATAAATTATAAATTGTCATTATAGTAGCTGAAAATCTAGTAGTTAATGGCTGACTAGCATGAAAAAAAACCCTGACTAGATATAGCCTTAGAGTGGTCTTATAAATGATGTATAGAATATACATACTTTGAGCACTTTAGTGGGTTATTCTGTGGCATTAGTTTTTTTCCTTCTGCTGTTTCAGGAGAGTAAATTCAAATGTTTAAATAGCTTTGGAGTGTATACAGCAGCTAATAGGTATGATGATTTAACTGACTTGCAGTGATGAATATGAAATTATGTACTTAATCTTAGGTTTGCAGTTTTAACACCAGTATGTCTTCCTTAAGTCTCCATTCTTCTCTTGGTAGAACTGGCAGCAGAAGCCCACATCCTTTGCTGCACTGAAAATATTGAAATCTGTTTAATTATTCAGTTATAAGTTGGTTGGGGTTTTGGTTTTACTTAATGTTTAGTAGCAAATGCTTTCCTTTGTCAGAATGCATGTCTTGTTTATTGAAGTTATAGACATTTTTTTACGTAACATTACAGGGACAAAACAAAATGTGTAATGTAAACTTCATGAAAGCATGCGCTTGTGCCACAACTTCTAAAATGTCATTGTAATGGGACTAAAAATATGTGTATTTTGCCGTTTTTGCTTTAGTTGGCGTTTTAGAAAAATTGCTGTTGACAACCCTGTAATAAAATAAGACTAACTGGGCACTCATGTTCAGTCAGATAAGGCCTTATCTACTCAAGAGACTTTGCTTCCTGTGAACATCCAGAATGTAGAGGTAATAATTTATTAAAGGAGGATGGCTACATTACTTTCTGGCTTGTATATTGTTAACAGCAGTATTACAGTTGAAGAAAGTCTATTTTTGGTGATGCATCAATAACTAAAATGTTAACTTTAAATTTTTAAGCTAAATTTACAATGCAGGAAGAATATAAATATCCTCATATTTAATGCAGATAATGAACCTGGGTCATGGGAAGCAGAGATGACAAGAAAAGCTTTATGTACAAACACAAAAAGCCTCAGACTTGCAATTTAAAATCTGAAGCAGAGACTTGTACTGAAATATTTAAGTGAAAAAGTAGCTGGCAGTCTTTGTACTTGTTAGAGACTCATCAAGGTCAGGGGTAGTTCTTATTCTGTAATTATAGTAAAAAAAGATAGATATAAAAACTTGAGATTTCAAAGAGACAGTCTAGACAGACGTGGTATTTGCTGGCCTAAGGGTGAGGACAAAACTTTCCAGATCCAAAGTACAATGCATTGTACAAGAACATTGTCCTTGTTCCTCAGGGGGACAGAGCAGAGCTTGCTCTCCTTCTAGACCCTCTGCAAGGGTTTTCACAAGGAGTTATTCCAAAGTGGATTGCTGCAAGATAACAGATCTCAACTTCATTTTCTAATTTTTTCAGAGGAATTAAATTCTATGTAACCTACTGTAATTTTTGGAGCTCTATCCATAATTGCACAGCCTCATAACAAATGTGAAATGTGCACATTATGAGGAAGAACTAGAATTTATTTTAGTAAGGAGCAGTTATCAGAAACTGTAAGCAACTAAAACTACTTCTAGGATACATCACAATTTTATGTAGCATGACTGAGTATTCACAACTATTGTAAATACCCTCAGTGGTTGCAGCTGTTGACAAAAGGCTTGTCCCCCATCTCCTAATGATTTCTACTATGATATTCCCAGTATCACTGGGGTTTTTTTTTGTTTTTAATGAGAACAAGATGAATTTGCACCCCTGATCTTGAACTACTACAGTTCTTTTGTTCTTGATTTCTTTGTTACAGATGTGCACTAGACTTATTGTTGAAGTATAAAATGTCTAGCATGTGCTGTGGGTGCAATTAGTTTTAAAGCCCCTTCCTGCATGATTTCCTTCCTGTTGGGTTTTGGGGTTTTTTTGTGTTTTGTTTTTAATTGTGAAGTCATGGTGTTCCTGAAGCTTATTATAGTGTCACAAAGGGTGCGGAGACACAAGAAAATCCTTACCTCTTCAGCCCATACCCAGGGATGATGCAAGACAGACTAGGGTCAGTTTACATGTTTTAACACACCCACCCCTGAAAGCATAACAGTCAAGACTTCTTACTCAAAACTAGTTTTATTTTAAAAAATAAGTCGAATGCATAGCACTCACAAAGATTCCATTGGTTGGACATTTTGCATTTAGGAGCACCATTCTTATTCATGCCATAAAAAACACATTTTGGTTCTAACAGTAAGAACAGCGTATTTTTAAATACGCTGATAAAGCCCTTTTAAATAATATATTGAAACTGTTCAGTGTACATTTTCTCTGTAGACATTATGCAGCTGTAGTGTCAGAAAAAACTTAGACTAAGTAATAAATTAAAAACAAACAGCATGTAGTGGATCTTTTTACAGTTGACCCAATGTCTTAAAATAGTCAAATAAAAAAATACCCCATTAAATGTAAATTTGCAGTATTAACTAACTGAATACACCCCCGCCCATTATAATTCCAGTGTTAAGTATTAGTTATATTTTTAAATATCAAATGCCTATGGGATAAATTTACTAATACTCAAAAAAAAAAAAAAAAGCCTATACTGCTGTGCCACAAATAAAGATGACAAGTTAGCTGATTTAAAGATCTTACAGAAAAGATTGCTACAGGCATCTGCTGTTATTTCAAGTTGTGGTCTATTACAAGACTGTACATTCATAGCATCAGAGGTAGTTAAGAGCATTTAGGACTTGGATATAGCATTGCAACAAAATGAAACCCAGAGAAAGAAGTCCCTTTCCCTCTTAAATGGGTAACAATGCTGAATAAAAAACATGGCATCTTATGAGGTGGTAGGTCTCTACTGAACACTACTCTCAGACATGGGCAAATATTCATTAAAAGATGGAGAGAGGAGAGAAAAACAAAACCAAGAACACCACAACCAAACCAACTTGCACTTTATTTAAGAATTGACCCCACTATGCCTATTTCAAAGTTGATTCTGTAACATAAGGCAGAGGATCATCTCTTTCATTCACCCCCCTGACTTGCGCATACATGCTACAAAAGCCCACCACAAAAATTGGGATTTATGCAAAAAAGCCCAACCAAACCAAATCAAGAGAAACAGGATTTCTTCTCCTCCACAATGTATAGGTTTTTGTAGCATGTTATCATTCAGCCCAAGAAAGAATGAATGCAGCTGTCTTCCCTCCACTCTGAACATTATGGAAGGCCCTTCTTCTGTGATAAATATTGATAATGTTATCTTAATTGCCCCTGCTTTCAAAACAGTCTCTATAAGATTCACAATACTTCAGGGTCATTAGATGGCATACAATTTTAAGTGCTGCCACTAAGACAGGCCAGAAGGTGGTAAAAGAACAAATAAACAAAAAAAGCCTCAAGTCCACAAACTATAAAGATATTTTAAAGTAGTAAGAATCCTGTCACCCATACCCCTCTCTCCCATATTCCACCACAGGAGAAAGTCAGGTATCTTCTTGTATTTAAAGAAAAAAAAACACAAAAACAAACAACCCAAAACCAACCCTCCATTAATATCACCATTTTCATCCAATAGTTGGATGAGTGAAGCTTTCTACCCTCTGACTACCCACTCCACAGGAGATAGTGTAAGTCCATAAAGTTACATAATTAGCACCTTAATTGTGATAAAGCAGTTCACTCTGCAATATATTTTTGATCCACCCATTTAGAAGAGTAAATCTCTGCATTTTCTCCTAGAACTGCAACATAGTAGAAGAAAAAGTTGCCCCACTATTACCTGAGAATTTTCCTCCACTGTAAGCCTGGAAGTACATTTAACTGTACTTTTTTTGTACGAGTGATACCATCAGTACAACTGGAGGATGCTCTCTGTTGATTAATAATACATGTGTGTTTGTGTATACACAGAGTAATCGCAGCCACTGTAGTAGTTCTGGTACAGTACAAGTTCAGCTGAAACTCTCTTTTCTTCAGTTATTCAGTAGCACACTGCTGGGCAGTAGCTTACATCTACATTCTGTGAATACTAACATATCCCTTTGGTACTCCTGCATATAGATGCCCTGAAGAAAAGCCACTCCACCTGCTATAGTGTCTTCCCTCTTTACCTTTCTCCCTTCAAGTTATACCCAATTAAGTATACAAACCAGCAGCACAGAGTAATGAACAGAAAATTCCCTGAGTTAGTATGAAAGAGTTACTTTAAACTTAAAAAGGACAGGGAAAAGAAAAGAAGCAAAAATATAGTGTCTATCCTGTGAGGTACAAAACTTAAGAACTAGCCAAAATACCAGTTAACTCAAATGCCTTAGCCTAAAGCAAATATCCAACACATATGCTGAAAAAGGGGCAAGAATAGAGAGTTAGCCAGATGAGATCTGTTTCCTCCTGTGGTTCCCATGTATCTGGAGAAACCTGGCATTCAATGGATTCTGAAGTTTCAGTAAACTGTTAATACTGTATGGTGGTATTACATAAATGTCTTCAAAATAATACTGCGTATCTCCTTCATTAAAAGGTAAGTCTATAGTTAATCCACAGCTATTTTTGACTAGTATTTCAAAGATGTGCGTCAGAAGCACCGAGTATTCCGAGTGCCAGAGTAAGAACTTATTACCCCCAGGTATACACGTTCTTTTTGGAGGGTGTTCTGTGTGCTTGTAGCAAGTCTGTATTTGACCTATGGTACTGCTTGTCAATCCAGTTGCCTTTTTTCCTAGAAAGACACTCTTTTATTTGATTTGTTGCCCTCAAACTTATTTGAGGGTTAACAAAAAAAAAAACAAACAACCCAACCCAAAACAATTCCCCTCAACACAACTTCCCACCCCAAACAAGCACAAAACTATTCTGTACTTATCACCTCTCAAAGCAGGGAGTAATACAGGAATATCGTCCATTCATTTGATAACTCCGGTTGTAGGAGACACTTATACATGGCTTCACTTCTAGCGGAGCAGCAAGTGACATTGCAGCACTAGTCTGTGCATGGCCTCGAGCCTGAACAGTAGACTGTAACGCAGCAGGGCAAGTCTGAAGTGGGTAAGATGCTGTATGATTAGATGATAATATCTGTTGACACTTTTGCTGCTGTGATGCCTGATGGTGATACTGTAATGAAGACTGATGAGCTTGGAGATACTGTGGTATGTGCTGTTGAGCATTAGCCTGCTGGGGAGTTGGAGCTGGGGTCTGAAATACAGTGTGTTGGGCAGACTGAGCATGTTGTCCTTTTTGCTTGTTTGCTTCCTTCACATCATTATCATGCGCACTAAACAAATTAAGAAGACAGAGTACATGAAAATAGATATTAAAATAATTTAAGCTCTTCTAGGTTAACATTTAAACCGCACAATTTTTAGAGTGCTCCACCTGAAAGCTTACAAAGCTTAAAAAAAAGAGAAAAAATAATTTTAGCCTACCCTTTAAATCATCTGTGATTTTAAAATTTGTTTCTCTAGAATACACTTTCTTTTCATCATTTCACTTCATTGCACAGCAATACAAAATGCAAATAAAGAGCAAGTACAATACAAATAATACAGAAGTATCTAAAATTACCAGTGCAATATAATCTACTGGTACTGCAATAAAGTGCCAGATTACCAGAACCTGAAATTAAAACTTATTTGCTGCTTCTACCACATTTAAGTTGAGTAAGAGAATATAGGGTTAAGACATTACATCAGAGGGTTCTTAAAGATGTACATTACAGTACTTAAAGATCGTATGTATACTAATATTGGATTCTGTTCTGGGGAGCGGAAATGCCTTTTTTTATCTTCTTCTCACCTTTTTTCTAGCCCACTGAGCACACTTCAGTTAGATGGTTTAGCTCACCTGAATTCCCTTTGATTTACACCTGTCTGAAATGTATTTAGCTGTACTCTTTCTCTTGCTCTTACACTGAGGTTAATCAGGTGCCACGTACATACTTCAGTCAGGCCTAAAATCTAGGGGGGTTTTGTACAAAACGGAGCAGATCTCTTGAAGACAGCTGGGGTTCAACCCCTCAATAGATTTTCCTGAAAGACTGCTTTTTATGGTGCGCTGCAAGGATGACCTAAACACTTCACCTTTCTCACACCCCACAAATGTTCCACAGCAGTTCTGAAAATTCTGCAATAGCACTCACATACTTTAGGTACTGTTCCTCTAATTACACACATTAGCAAAGCAAAAACAATGTCACACTTATAATGAATATGCCTTTCTTCCAGATATAGCTGTTCCTGTGCTTCTACAGAATACAAGTGTGTTTAGATCTGGGCAAAAGAAAACTTCTGTAGGAGGAAAGCAGTTATGGTGGGCATAGGTTTTGATCTTAAGGGTTAGAATAAAAGAACTTATTGTATAACAACCCTTCTCAGTAAGGTTTGGCATTTTTGTCTCATGTCAGCTGTATGTCTCCACTGTAGTGCAGAAACGGATACAGCAACATTAAATAAAACCTCCTGGTCACTTCCTCCCCCCAGAGTTGGCCACTCAGTCTGCATAATCTGTTTGGAGCGTCCCTTGAACTTCCAAGGGTTAGAGACTTCAGAATAAGTAGAAGCTCCTATGCCTTCAGTACTCTTCACTCTCTTTTTGCTCTCTGAGCAGACTACAGAGATTGGGAACAAGCTATTTAACAGATTCTCAAAGCATGCCAGAAGATGTTCAGTAGAAATGCAAGGCTGAGGTTTGTTGAAAGAACAGGAAAGAGGTTAGATCTGTTAAGATTTTCTTTTTTTGGAAAGAACAAAACAGTTATTACTTAACTATATTACCTAATACCTAATTATTTTTAGAATAGAAAAACTGAAATTAAAAGAAGAAATTTACTCTGAGTGCTAACAGCCATTGAACGTACCAACAGATCCAGAAATGGGCTTAAAAAATAAAAATAAAGCTGCTGTTAGCTTACATTAATAGTCGCTCAATACATGGCACTAGAAAATCCCAGGAGTATGCAGTAAGATGATGCAGTCGGGTAGGCCACGTTGGTGAGAGACGCAAGATGATCCTTGAAGAAGCTACACATGCAGTAGCAACTAAAGAAGGAGCATAATTTAAAAATGCATGATCTAGAAGAAAGGAATAAGAAAAGGATTAATTTAAGTTGGACATTGTCTATCAATGCAACAGAGGAGTCATTATCTGGAATACATAACTCACCTTGCAATGATACTTCCAGAAAGTAATCAGCATATTTTGCCATATATAACTTAGTCTTCTCTAAGCAAACCATTGGCCAGCCATCATGAAGATCAGTCTCATGGACAGCAATAGAAAGATAATAGTCGATGAAATGAGCAGCAGTTGGGAGGCACAAATTCCACTGAAATGTTTCTAGCAACAACAACTCCATATGAAGCAAATTCTGTTTTGTTAGTACCAAATTCATGTTAGTCATACAACCCAAGCTGTTCAGCTGTTCAAGTTTGGGAACACTGTCTTCCTTTTCTTCAAATTTACCTTCCGATGAATAGAAAGAGGAGGGGGAAAAAAAAAGTAAGTTTCAGCACAACTGAACTGCAAAACAGCTTGTATCTAATGTCTGCATTGGTCATATTTCAATTCAATGTCAAACAAGATTGAGACTTTCCTTCAGATGCAAAGAGACAAAAAGTGGTATGTACTATAAAGAGCTGTCAAACACTCTGTAGGATATTGTGCAGTGCATACTTCCTGTTGGTTTTCACACCCTGGCACACAGAAGTTGGTTGTGAAGTACTGCATATGCAAGTTTTTGTCACCAAATTATTTTATATGTCTCCGTCATCAATGAAATACCACAGTGATGTGCCTTGGCATACACAACACCGCAACATTTGGCTTTCATCACCCTCCTCCCCCCACACACCCTTTTTGTTTCTAAAACTCATTAAGAGTACAGCTAGAGCCCTAGCTAACGTGGCTGCTTTTAATGCCTGTTATGGTAGGCATCGGTTTAGATTTGATAGCTGGTAAGCCGCTCCTGCCCTTTAAACAAGTGAATTTCAGCAATGTACAGCTGAAAACCTACACTGCTATATACACTGTTTCAACTTTAATGCTGCTAGCAGCTTCAGCTTTCCTTGGACTTTTAACTTGTCAGGCCTGTATGGTTTTAGCCTGAAGCAAAATTGTGTATGTAGAAAACCCATTAATAAGAGAAACAAGTGTCATATTTCCATACAGTTTGCCATATGGTTGTGCTATTTCAATTTCATTGCAAATTCTTTCCATCTTACAATCTCTATTCAGTACTACATGATATGTTGTAAATGCACATTTTTAGGGAGTTTTGCAGGACTGAACATTCCCCCCCCCCCCCCCCCCCCCCAGCACTCAAGGTACTTATAGAGGACTTAATCCAATACCAGCCTCAGTCTCTTAGTTTTTGTTTCCCATACTCTAGTAATTACAGAAATAAAAGCTTCAGGAGTCACATCATAATTTCTCTTACTACTTCTGTAACCTTATCAGATACATCATGGTGTGATCTGCCTAATATATTGCATCACTGATTAAAAAGGGCAAAAGTTTAAAATAGCGTTCTGGTTTGTATTTTCTGAAACAATTCATGCACTGCTGCTTGGAAGAACAAGCAGTCTCAGCTTTTGGAGCTCTACTTGCAGCTTGTCACGAAAGATGGCAGAGGCGATTTTTTTTTTTTTTCAAGTTATAATTCTCTTCACAACATGAATTTCATTTGAAAGTCTGGCATTAGTTCAAAGCAAATCCATTTTCCTAAATGGATTACACTGGTTTCTGAAGCAAGGTTTTCATACTCAGCACCTTATCCTTTGCCAAAAGATTGCTGGCTGGTTGCATCCAGTCAAAGTTTACCCCAGAAGAGTCTGAAATAACCCTTTTCTTGTTTAACTGTTCTGTTAAATAGCTGTATCGGTGTGAGATGGGGATGGAATGAAAGGAAGCAGTATAGCAAAAATAGTCAACACCTCCATGCTCTGGTTTTCTAGCAGAGAGGACATGGAGCTATGATGCCATACATTTTATTTGAGAAAATTAAAATATTCAGGGAAACAGATCAGCAGAAACTGAACCAACAGTTAGCTCTGCTGCCAGGACCCATTTATCTGAATCTGCTGGTTTAAGAATAAATGCAGCAGGTATCCCAGCAAACTGTACCCATATTTCTTTGGGGACATCTAAAAGGGGTCCACAAATGTCAAAAGATGGATACACACCACAAGAATCTAGCTGAGGTCAATATATGCAGCACTGCTCATAATGAATGTTTGTAATTAATTCTGTTTTCAGAGTACTGTACATTCACTTTCATATTTCACCAGTATTACATTTTGTATGTGACAATACAGGGTCTATGTTAGCCTTAACTTGCTTAATGAATATTGCAATTTATGAAATCTGAAGTATTCCAGAACCACACATCACCATCAGCAGGGTGCAGTGCAGTCTACAGATGGTTTAATTTCTTTATCACAGTTATGCAAATTTCTTATTTCCAGCACTGGATCTACCTATTTTAAGAGGTCCTCAGAAAGACAGTCTTTCTATTCCTACAATACAGCTCTGAAAGTTCCCCCTAGAACAATTTGTTTCCAAGTATAAATATTAGTTTTTCATGTCAGTTTGTTTTTTGTTCCATCAGTTTCAACAGGTGCCAAAAGGACTCAAAACAAGAGTCTAAAGAAAGGCTCTACCAATTGGGCAAAACTGATACACACTAATATGCCCCTCTTTTATAACCACTTTGTTTCCCCTATCTGCTATATCCTATCAAGACACACCTTGTATCTGGCAGCAGAACTTATATTGCTCTAGTTAAACTTCGGTGCTACATACTTACTTGCTAAAAGTAAACAGGAAAGAGCAACCACATGCAGCTGCTGTATAGATATGTCATAACGATCCATAAAGAGGTCCAACAGGTACACAGCTAGATGTCGTGCAGCAGGACAAAGCCTGAACCGATTGCTCACAATGGCAATCAGATCTGCAAAGTATCTTCTCAGATGTAACTGCGGAGATTGTCCTTTGTAGGAGGGCAGCTTCAGCTCCTAGATGGACAGCAACATGCAATTTTGTTAAAACCATTATTTAGTTTAATTGGTATCAGATTAATATAGCTAACACTCTCAAACTTTTAATGGAATTTTCAAATTTCTCCCCTCTTCCTTCTGTTCCCATTATTTCAGCATTTCTTTTCACAGAACAAAATCTGTTATATAACAGAAGAACCAAGAAATAATTTGGTCCTGCATAATATTAGTGTAACAATTTTAAATTTAACACCTTTCAATCGGGAAAATGGTTCAAGTGACTTTAGCTTTTACCATTTCTGTTGTATTATCTCTACTGCAGAGGCTGTACCTCCCAAAAAGGAAACAGCAAGGGTATGTGAGTACTCCTCAGCTGCTTCAATGCAAAGTCCAATAGCTAACTCAACCCCCTCACACTACAGCTCAACTTGAGCAATCAGACTTTGCACTGAAGCATCTGCATGTTCCAATGCTACCAGATCTCTGCAGGTGCCTCCAGGAGAAGGGCACTAACTGGTAGCCGAAGGTAGTGATCTTAGGAAGAGGAATGGGGCATGCAATGTGTCAACATTTGCTGCATGCATGTTTAAACCCCGAGTTAATCTGACCTGATTGATGTTGCACTGGCACTGATTACAGTGTGCTCTCAGGTGTTTAGTTAAGCGTACATAAACCTCGCACTGTCTCAGATTTGAGGCGGGGACCCCACAAAACAAAAGCCCTACCAACACCACAGATGAGAAAAACCTGTGACATGGTATTTGGACTAGTAGAAAGAACATTCCCCAAGCTTCTGCCTAGTACCTCCTCTTGTATACAGCAGAACAGCAGTGCTGTCCTTTGTTATCATTAATAAATTTATGAGTTGGATTGTGCAGCCTACCTACTGTGTGTAAGTAGCATTTTGAGTACAATTACATTCCTGACAACATCCAGTTGGAATGGAGTCAGCCAAATTTTCAGATTCTTAAGGTCAAAGTTCTGAAACATGCTACTGAAGTGAAGAAAACCCCTAAACTTAGTAACCCCCCCAACACCTCCCATACCTATTAAGCTTTAGAATGCATCTTTCATAACGCTTTAGTTTAATAACACTAACTTTGGTAGCAAATAAATTATCCTGTCCTCCTGTCCCACCACCCCTACTTCAAGAAAGTCACACTTGAAAGAAAGATAATCCACTCACCAAGTACTATCAGGCAGCAAAAGTGCATTTTTAGTAGGCTCAGCCACTGTAAACTGTTTTTCAGCTCCAGGCATAAGACGTATTTTATTAAGAAAGCAGCCCCAAAGAGCAACTTTGAGTTAGCTGAAGTAACTTCAAAGCAGCATTACTTAAACCCTCTACTCTTGCTGCACCTAGTGTTTGTTTGGCTTTTGGAGATTTTTGTTCCAACAGCTCCACAACGCTTTCCTCAGAGCTTAAACTTGAAGCCATTTCCACATCCAGACAGAAGAATTAAGCGCCCCGTGACCCCTGTCCTTTTTTAAATGCAGAAAGGAGTCCGGTCACTCACAGAAACTGTCACGCCCGAGAACAAACAGCCTGAGCCTTAACTGAGGATAAAGCAAACTCCACCGAAGTCCGGTCGCCTCACTCTTTCCACGCCGCTTCCAGCCACGGGGCTGGCTCCGATTGTTCAGCCTTCACAAAGGTACCGAGACCGCCGCCGTCCCCCGCCGCCCACCAAGGTCCCCCGCTCAGACCCTCCTTCCCGACCGAATCCCCGCCGCACCGGGCTACCTTGTAGCGAAGCGCCTGGTGGATGTCGGCAGCCAGCTGTCCTGTCCACCACTGCGCCTCCAGCTCCATCGGCGGCGCGGCGCGGCGGCCGGGGCCTGGGAAAAGGGGGGGAAGCGGCACCCACTGAGCGCAGAGGGCAGAACAGAACGGGACGGGCAGCACCACCCTCGCCCCTTCCCCACTCGCCCCCAGTTAACCGCGATCAGCTGCCGCTCGCGCCGCGGGGCGCCCCCGTACCCCCAGCCCAGCTGTCCGCCATGCGAGGCACAAGTGAGGCTTGTTAAGCCGCCCCCTCCCGCTGCGGCGCAGGGCTGAGCGAAGGGGGCGCGGACCAGGCGGCGGCCCCAAGGAAGGACGGTGGCGCCCCAGCGAAGTTCGGCAGCACTTCCTCTGCTGAAGCCGCCACTCACCCTACGCAGCGGCGGGGCTGACGGCCGCGGCGGGGCCGGGGCACCAGAACGCAGCACGGCGTCCCGAAGGCTCCCCCGCCATCACGCGGCGCCGCCCGCCTCACCCATTGTTAAAGGGCCGAGCGGGCCGGCGTGTGTACAAAGCCAGGCAGCGCCCGCACGCGGCCGCCAGCCCACCAATCGCTTGCGGCTTTACAGCACGGCCCGCCTGCTGGGCGCCAATCAGGGTGCCGCGCTCACGGGGCACGCCGAGCTCTGTGCTCCGCGGCCAGGCGCGGGAAGGCTTTGGGCCCGCGGAGCTGCCGTAGCTGTCCCAGCGGTAAAGGCCCGGCAGGAGGAGCTGGGTCGGGCTTTCCCCGCTCACCCAGGGGGTCTCGGGGCCGCGCAGGGACCCCCGTCAAGGACTGGCGGTGCAGGCCCTTGGGGTGTTCCCGCAGGGTGTGAGGGGAGAGCCGGGTAGTGGGGCTGTCCCCGGCCCGAGCAAGGTGGTGCTTATCCGTCATAGCACCTGACGGCACCTTTTCACTTTTTTCCTCTTTTTTTTTCTTTTTTTTTTTTTTTTTTTTTTTTACCCTTGGCTCTTTTGTGTTTCAGTTGTGAGGTTTCTACCACGTGGAATGGTTGTAAAAACCGTCGGGAGCTGCATCTCGTTTGGCTCCTTTACACTTAAGACATGTAGAAAAGGACATACACCTCATGGGCTGTGAAAGCTATGAGAGTCAGGTATTAGACTATTTTGTGGGTGAGCTCTTGTTTGTTGCTAGTTAAACTCCCAGGGGAAGGTTTGTAATAGCTTATGTCCCACTTTTAAATAGCCTGTGCTATTCACTTGAGCTAAGGAGCCTCAGCATCCTGACAGTGATGATAAACAGGAGCTCCCACCTGGGCTTCTGGCTGAACAGTAGGTGCTGTGCACCTGTTTTGCACCTTTTCAGAAAGCCTTTTTCTAGATGCTTTCCACCTGCTGGTAACCCCCTGCTGTGGAGATCTTGCAAAATAATACTTGGTGCTTTATAGTGGTTTGCATCTTTGAATTCCCAAATACCCAAACAACTAGCTAATAAGAATGTAAAACCTAGTACAACAAGCAATGCAAAGCAATGAAGAAGAAATGCTTTGGATGCAGTTTATGTTGAGGTGGTGTGTTTTTTGTTTCTATCCATGCTCAGGCATGATTTTTTTTTTTTTTTTAATTAAGAAAATGGAAACCAACTTTTTGGCATAACCAGTTAAATGACTGCAGCCAGGGTTGTAAAATCCTGTTCCTTTAAACATGCGCGTCTTAACTTTAGTGGGTAGTCCTATGGACTGCAGTGCTCTGTTTCATCTGAGGAGGTGTGCTTGTAGGTGGAAGCCATAGTTTTTGAGAACATGCTTCCTGGGCAGTTTCCATTTATGACAGTTTTTGTTATATAATAGTTCCTGCTATTATATAGGAGGGAGGGGAGAACAGGAAAAGTTAGTATTTTTTGTGCATAATACATAATTGAGAAAACTCTTCCACAGTTTAATTAGCTACCTGAGCTCTGTGGACTTTTGACAAAGTAGCATTTTGCTGTTTTGATGGCTTTTTGTCTCATTTCTATAAATTCCTTTATAGGCAAGTGTATGCTCAAGCTGGTTTTGATACTTACACTGTTTTAAAATTACTTATTCTTGAAGAAACATAACACCAAATTTTGTATTTCAAGGGTAAGATAAATCTCAAAAGCAGACTTCTGATGGAGACGTTGTCATTCACAGAAACTTTATGGCCTTCAAGAATGTGTTGCCTGCTTGAAGAGGTGAAAGCTAATAAACACCAACATGCTAAAAACCTGTTACAGTGGGCCCAAGCAGGAAAGTGGTGTTTCTGCTCTTACATACTTGGAGAAATTGCTATTAGCACTGCTGCCTCCCACCAGAGCTATTTAACCATCATGTGCATTAGGCTGTTTCTAGACTGTTAAGTGAAGGGGGAAAAGAAAAAGTGTAGATACTTACTGGCTTATTTCTCAAGTGGGCTTGTCTGATTTGGATAGGAAGCATCATCTTTATCCTGATAAGGCTATGTACACTGAGAGCTATTTCATCTTCATATAATAATTCAGGAAAACAATAATGCTGCAGTTAACTTGCCACACTACAAAGATGACTGAACTGTGGACCTGCCAATTTCAGATCCTTGTAACAAAGATCCTTGACTGTTTCCTATTTCCACATTTCTATGCGCACATTGCAACCTATTTTAATTGAGCTCTTGCTCTTGTGAAGTTACATGTGTGTCTGTTTTTCATGCAATCAAAAGATAGGTTTGGAAAAAGCCTCATCATCCTGCCTGAGGCCAGCATTGCTCCTGGCATGCATTTTTCTGATCTTGCCGACATCCAGAAAATCACCCTATTGACAAAGCCAAAGCACTTCTGCACTGCCATATTATCTGCAGGAAGCATACATTTCACCTTATGCCTTAGTGCCAACTGGAGGAATTGAGAGCAGTCTTGAAGTCTCTAAACTGAGGCTTAATTTTTTCAGAGTTTGCAAGTTCACAGTTAAATGGTAATGGGAGTAGCACAATTGTAACAAGGTTAAGGCAGGTTCTTTGCATGTCTTATGATCAGTCCTGAAATATCCAGTGGTATTTTTTTTAACCAGTGCAGATTTTATCTAGCTTTGATGGTCAAGGCTGTGTATGGTGCTTGAAGTGTTCCTTAGTCCCCTGCCTATAAGTCAGGACAGAATCAAAGCAAACTCCCTAAGTCCTTGGAATAAACAGAGGATATTAATGATTACTTTCAGGGGCAGTAGTTAGGCTTTCTTTAGCAAGAATCTGGAAGTGTGAAGTTTTCCACTTATGTGTGGCACATGGAACCTGAGAGGACAGAAAGCAGGACTGAATGTTAGGAAACCGTTTTGAAATGGGTATCATCTTTCTGTGAATGACCATGAATCACCTAAGGAAATACATGTGTCTCAAGGGGGAAATGAAATTGGCTGCAAGAACTGCTGTATGTGCTTTGAAAGGGTGCCAGATAGCAAGAAACACCATTATTTTTGGAATGCCACAAGAAAAATTATGACCCTGAATTACATCCAAAACAGGCTAGAATGCAACCTGTGAAATCTGGACTAAAATGCTTGTAACATTTTTGTGGAATCTTCTAAAGAGGATGCTGCCAAAATCTTACAATTTATGGACCTGTAATTCACAGGTTATAGTCCTAATACAATTTCAGACATGGTGGGTGAGCTGACTTTTCTTCGTAGTTACTGGGAGGTTAGATTGTATCTCATGAGTTGATGCATGTATTTATGTGTTTTTTCCTACCCTAAATTTTTGGTGGTGGTTCTTGGCCTGTGGAAAAAGAAATACGGCTTTTAAAATACAAATGAAGAACTTGAAGGTAATTGCCAAGTATAGGAAATACTCTGATCTTGAGAACTACCATTTCTGTACATTAGAAACCTTTTCCCCTTCCTAGTAACAAAGGATCCATTTCTGGTATATAGTTCTTAGTTTTAATGGTACATCAACCACAGAGTACAACAGATTCTAAAGACTGTCATGTTGATTTACTTTTATGCTTGCTGTCATAAGAGACATCTTTGAAGTCTGGATTTTTCTTGACTGGAAAAGTGAGAGGAATCGGTCACTTCAGCTACGTAAGCAGAGTCCAGGATAGAAACTGAATTCTGGGGTGACATAGCAAGGAAAGAAATATTTAAATAATGTCTCAATCCCTATGTTAATTGTTCTTTTATTTATTGCTTCTTGCTTTTGTTTTGATGCTCTTCGGTTGTTCTCTTCTGAGTAAAGTGATGGTAATTCTTTAAAAGGCATTTTTGAAGAACTGATTTTTTTGAGCTATGATGTAAAAGAATCGTAGTTTTGTAGAACTGAGCATTATTAAAAGAAAAAAAAAAATCCTCCAGACTTTGTTCTTGTGTTTCTTGGGGCTGAGAAAGTTAGCTCTGCTTTTGTTACTGTACTTGTTGATCCTATTTTCAAACAAAGGCAGCATCTGATGACATTCGTTGCCATATTTCAAGGACATTTAATTAAAGGGAATGAATCATTCTGAAGAAAGGACTGTAACTACTCAAAGGACTCTTTTGCAGCATGGTGGTAGATGAAATGTTGCATGTCAATAAAAAGAATTGTAACACTTCAGAAGCATTTGTGGGCAGTCTCCAACTGAAAGTACTCCAGGGTTGTATTTATAAATGCCTGTACTGACTGTTAAAGGTACTCTGTGGGTAAGATTTTCAAAGATGTCTGGGGATTTGGATTCCCAGAATAGCTACTAAAATGTGATTATCAGATTTGAACTTTACTGGTAAATATCCTTTGGAACTGTTGACTTTAATTGTTAATACAGCTATTAAGAGAGAAAAGATCTGACAGTGCTTTGGCTTGAATGATACATGTCTAACATGAAACATTTGAACAAACAATTTGGTTTTAAGTGTTTTCCCATCCTCTGGGAAGCTATTATAAAAATGTGTGCCATTAATGTTTTATCTGGCATTAGGATAAATGTATATGGTTTTGATAATGTGTTAGGTGAAGGAAATGTCCATATACAAGGAAGAGTGTTGATGGATGTAATTTGTACTGAGTGGTTCTTGTTTTCTGTAAGTCACATTCTCTGTTCAGGAAATAACTTTGTCAGTAACAAAAAAGACCAGAGGAATTTTGCATCTAAGCATATGTACTTCCTGCTTGGAAGGCTTCAGCTCATTTGACTGGAATTAGGAAAGCTTACTTGTCGTGCAGTAAGCTCAGGGATAGAGGGGTAGAGCAGTTAGTGATATGTTGTTCCTGTCAAACATGTTTTGATTTTAGTTACATCCACAGAATTTAATAGGGTGAAGTTGCCTGTTCCTTTTCATTTCAAACTGAAGGTCCAGCAAAGGTATTTTTTTTTTCCCCTATAACATTCAGGGCTGCCAAACTAGAAGCCAGCTCAGGCTACCATAAAGTTAATGCTTCTGTCTCCTAATGGTTGCCAAGGAGGAGAACTGCATGCAGGCGTGGGCTCACATCCACAGGGGGAGCTGGCTTTTGCT